GGCACGGGGAAAGAACGCTGCCTTCAAAAAATGGCAGCCGTGAGCTGCCCCCCAACGATTCCAAAAAAAAAAAAAAAAACTAACCAACTTCAAGCATCACGTTGTCATTCAGAGCCAGCGCTCAGGCGATGCTGAACTCTTGGATTGCTCCATTCATAGAGACATTTCAAGGAGAACAGGGTCATCAGAAAATCCGACTGTACGAGGTATCATTTGTTGAACCATGGCTGCTGTCGCTCCCTCCCATCCAGAATCTCCTGCTCTGGCTAATGAAGTCCAGTCCCAGTGCAGCAGGCTCGCAGGAAACACAACCATCTCAATATTCTAACAGCTCGCTGGATAGGAGTCGCAGGGGTCCAGACGATGAGGTCTCTCCACTTCTGAAGAGGACTGTGTACTCCTTTGGGGATACTTACCATCTCCGAAAAGCCCTCGGAATCCCTAACCGTCTTACTGCGTACATACTCCTTTTGGATAAGGCTGGCCGTGTGCGATGGCGGGCAACAGGAATGGCCTCCTCAGAGGAGCTATCATGGATGATGCACTGCACCCGGTCGTTGCTTCGGGAGTCAAGTGAAGCAAAGAGGTGAAACTTCCGTTAAACCTCAAGTGAAGCAAAGAGGAAGAAACACATGCGACATTGGTGTGACTTGCGTGTGTGACACAAGAAAACTTGCCTGTGTGACGTGGATATTATTGATACTAATGCCACGCAGGTAAGCTGATATGCGATTACGGCAGAAGCATTCGATTAATGCCTCTGCTTCTGCCACATGGCAGCGGAAGATGCTCGCTAGTCACAATGGCAGCTAGAGGTGCTCGCTACTGTCTTTGCCCGAGTAGAATGCCCGGTCATTATCACTGTATCTGGACTGAACGTTGCCCCTCATACAGCATATGATGACTGGGTGTTCTATTCGGATGAAGATGGTAGTCAAGGAAGCCAATGGCCAGTGGTCACCAAGGATAAGCAGGTTGGTTCTGTCTGTCATTCTTGGCCCTCCTGCCAGATGTCAGGCGGCCGCAGAGATAAAAGCCTGGCAGGTTGACAGCTGTCATTTCGCCAGCTGTTGCATGCAGGAGTGTGCGTCAGACAGGAAGGAGCACTGAATCTTGTGATTGATCTGACATCTGACACCTCTACACACTGCCAGCAGTGCAAAGAACTCCACATCTTTATCCTGGTGTTTTGATCATGAGCGTATGATGCACGCCATGTGTGTGAAACCGAGAGTCAGGGCATGCACACACTAGCACTAACACTTTCCTAAATGTATCGGACTGCCGTCGCACCTGGATGCATCCGACTGCAATCAGGTCCAGCGCTCAGTTGAAAATCTACTTTTGTGAGTGTACGCCCTCAGTATTGACAAGGAAAGTGACTCGTGATCCTAGATACGGCTAACCTCTCTGTGGGGAGGGGCAGCAACCCCACCGGAGTTAAAACCGTGTGTGCGATCAGATTCATGCCTCTGGACCATGTGGGCGACCAGACTCATGCCTCTGGAGCAGCAACATAGCACCTGTGTGTGCTGGCCCCATGGTCTCCGTCACTCTTGTACTTATGCCGCTTGCCAAGAAGGAATTTGCCCGGAGTTAAATATGCCTTGAACTCACGATTCCCTCTCCTCTGGCTATGAACCGTATGTGCATCTAACCGTTGACATGAACAGATCATCAGTTTGAATCCTAATGGAGTCAGATGGATAATGTATGACAATGCTAGGAGCCACCCCCTTCTGAACAGGAGGACAAAAGAAAAGCCCCAACCTCAGGCATGCCTCCCCTGTTTGTGCTGCTACGGGAACTCTTTTGTTTGTTTGTTTGCCCGAAGTATTGCTCCAATCTATTGGCGAGGAGGCGCACCTGCTTGAAGCTTCTAACAGAATTCAGTGTTAATTGCATGGTGATCTAATCGATGTTGTCATCCTCCTGTCTTCCCCACTCCTCCGCTCCCAGAATAGAAAGAGGGCAGGCCTAGAGAAGTATTTTTCTAAAATTTTGTGTGTTGGCAGGGGGGAGCGGGAAGAGTGAGATAAGGGAGGTGGGTGGGGAAACAGCACAGATAAGATAACTGTTCCTTTGCCAGCCTGCTTGTGTGTGATGCCGGATTGGCAGGACATTGGGATGCAGAGGCTGGCGTGGGCACAGTTCAAAGTTGGAAGTCAAACTGTGCTTGGTTTGGACGAGCACTGTTGAAAGTCGTTCTGTGCAAGGCTGGGACCAGTTTGACTTTGCAGAGTCTGACTTTCTGGAGTTTATTTCGAGTGCCGAAGACCTCTAGACAGTTGGCATCAACAACACTTGTGCGGAGGCGCACTGCACTTCTTTGGAAAGTAGCCAAATTGATTTCTTTGGGGAAAAAAAAAAAAAAAAAAAAAAGCACCAAATTTTCCGCCCCTTCCGGAAGGTGGCGAAAGGCCGAAAAAACACCCTGGGCCGCCCAACAAAAAAAAAAAAACGGTACCGGAGCCCGAACCCCCGGAGAGTCCGGATCCCTTTCCGGGGGTCCGGATCGTAGCCATGGTTCAATCCCCGTCGGCCTTACGTACCTTCCCGCGCATAGTTGGCGCCCCCCCAACTACAGATAGTGAAGTTAGATCCCCCGATCGGCATTGAGCAGTCTGCTGATGTCCGTAGTGGAGGGGACCTGAGGGGAGGCACAGGGATTGGTCCTATTGGCGTAGTCTCTAATGCTACCGGGTGTCTCCTGGCCGGCATCGCCTACCCGCACGTCGAGAGCAGTCCCAGCATGTTCTGTCGTAAACACGGGTTCTAGCTGGTACTGTATCCCCTTCTCCTCATCATGGGACAACCGTATGTTTTTCTCTCACCAAAAACGGAATTCTTAACTGTCGATCTGCCATGTCATGGATCATATCGTTCTTTCACTACCTACCCACCACTTCTCCTACACAGGGGATCCCTTACAGCATAGCTTTCTACCTCTCTTCGATATAGGGAGGTTACCTCTCTCCATGGAGAGAGGCAACGACATGTTTGCCTGTTTGCCCTAGCGTTCAAGGTGCATGGTTGGGGCCGCTGTTGGATGCCCGACTAACACAACGACTGAGCATTTGCCAGTAACTGTGCCTCCCTTTTCATCTTCCCCCACCCCCATCCAGTAACAGTAGTGTCCAGAATTAGGAGTAGTGTATATTGGTCATCCTATCGATGAAAGTACTCTCTCTCTCTCTCTCTCTCTCTCTCTCTCTCTCTCTCTCTCTCTCTCTCTCT